ACCTTTGTGTAGTCTGGTAGGCTAAGCATAATGTTGGCCTATAGACCTTTGTGAAGTCTGGTAGGCTAACCATAATGTGGCCTATAGACCTTTGTGTAGCCTGGTAAGCTTACCGTAATGTTGGCCTATATACCTTTGTGTAGTCTTGTAAGCTAACCGTAATGTTGGCCTATATACCTTTGTGTAGTCTGGTAGGCTAACCGTAATGTTGTCATATAGACCTTTGTGTAGTCTGGTAAGCTAACCGTAATGTTGGCCTATAGACCTTTGTGTAGTCGGGTAGGCTAACCGATATGTTGGCCTATAGACCTTTGTGTAGTCTGGAAGCCTAACCGTAATGTTGGTCTATAGACCTTTGAGTAGTCTGGTAGGCTAACCGCAATGTTGGCCTATATACCTTTGTGTAGTCTGGTAGACTAACCGTAATGTTGGCCTATATACCTTTGTGTAGTCTGGTAGGCTAACCGTATTGTTGGCCTATGGACCTTTGTGTAGTCTGGTAGGCTAACCGTAATGTTGGCCTATGGACCTTTGTGTAGTCTGGTAGGCTAACCGTAATTTTGGCCTATAGACCTTTGTGTAGTCTGGTAGGCTAACCGCAATGTTGGCCTATATACCTATGTGTAGTCTGGTAGACTAACCGTAATGTTGGCCTATAGACCTGTTATGTGTGATTACGTTTATTTCATGAAAATGTACTTATATCAGCAAGTATAAATCCAAAAGCTCCTAACTTCTTTTTTGTAATTTGTTTTTTATTTTCATTTTTATGTGCAACATCATAATTATCAAATTAGCAGATATCATAATTATCATACATCATAAACAATAGCCTCATTACCAACACATCTCACAGACATGCACCATCCTCATCATCATTCTCATCATCTTCATCATCAATTTTTTTTTTATATGTAACAACATCGACCATATTACATACAATGCGTCATCATCATCAACACCCTCCTCCTCCTCCTCCTCATCATCATCATCATTATCATCAACAACATCATCATCAACACCCTCCTCCTCCTCCTCCTCCTCCTCCTCCTCCTCCTCCTCCTCATCATCATCATCATCATCAAAGCAACATCATTAAATATACTTCCTTTCATTTTCGATTCATCATAATGTCATTGAATCGTCATAATCGGACGCGCATCAGTTACAAGTTACAATATATATATATATTACAATGCTTTAGGTACTTACATGGACATGGACACCACAATGACAACATCGAAAACTCTAAGGAAACAGAATGTTAAGAAGCATGATCTCTTTTTGAGTTGTACTTGCTTATCGAATGCAGCAGAGCAATGACTTTTTCCGNGTATAAACCATGGGTTACTTCCGTGACGTACATAGAAGGTATAAACCAGGGGTATAAACCATGGGTTACTTCCGTGAAGTACATAGAAAGTATAAACCATGGGTTACTTCCGTGAAGTACATAGAAAGTATAAACCAGGGGGGTATAAACCATGGGTTACTTCCGTGAACTACATAGAAAATATAAACCATGGGTTACTTCGGTGATGTACATAGAAAGTATAAACCATGGGTTACTTCCGTGACGTACATAGAAGGTATAAACCAGGGGTATACTCCTCCTCCTCCTTCCGTGAAGTACATAGAAAGTATAAACCAGGGGGGTATAAACCATGGGTTACTTCCGTGACGTACATAGAAGGTATAAACCAGGGGAATAAACCATGGGTTACTTCCGTGAACTACATAGAAAGTATAAACCAGGGGTATAAACCATGGGTTACTTCCGTGACGTACATAGAAAGTATAAACCATGGGTTACTTCGGTGATGTACATAGAAAGTATAAACCATGGGTTCCTTCCGTGAACTACATAGAAAATATAAACCATGGGTTACTTCCGTGAAGGACATAGAAAGTATAAACCAGGGGCATAAACCATGGGTTACTTCGGTGATGGACATAGAAAGGATAAACCAGGGGTATAATCCATGGGTTACTTCCGTGAAGGACATAGAAAGTATAAACCAGGGGCATAAACCATGGGTTACTTTCGTGAACTACATAGAAAATATAAACCATGGGTTACCTCCATGAAGTACATAGAAAGTATAAACCATGGGTTACTTCGGTGAAGTACATAGAAAGTATAAACCATGGGTTACCTCCATGAAGTACATAGAAAGTATAAACCATGGATTATTTGGAATTTTCGTCAAAAATTCAATGTGGATTTATCCATTTATTTTACATACCAGAATTAAACAATTTACCACAAGTATAGTATTTCAGACGCCTTCTATTTAAAGGAAAAGGAACTTGTGGTGATCTGAGTGTTGTTGTAACATGTATCATACATTTTATTCTTTTGCACTTTGCCCCCGAATTTGCATCTTTTTACAAGGGTCAAGAGAATTAAAATGATTGATTGGTAACACTTAAATATGAGTTATGGTCTAATCATTCGCTGTATTCGTTATCAGGGCAATCAACCATGGGCTTACCTTTAGTCAGACCCGGTCTTACAAACTTATGTGTACATTCTAAATAAAATTCATGCATTTCGAGTATAAATCCTTAGAGAGTGCTCTTACACTTGTTTTATTTTGATTGATATCGCATGATTTATGTTTAACGTTTCGTCATTTTAAACTATCAATTTGGCTCTCCCTGACAATCATAATAGATGGGAAAAATAGCTACACATAGATTATGTTAGCTGACTAGCTAGGTTATATCCGATATGTTTTGGTAATCAGCCACTGAACAGTTGGTGTTATACCTTACTTGGCTTACAGACTTTGCTATTTGTGTTTT